GCAGCCTGTGCCTGCAGGGGGGTGAGGACCTTGCCCAGCCCTATGTGGCTCACTAGTCCAGCCTTGCCACGGAGCGGGTCACAGGGCTTCAGGAGGTGTGGCTCCTGTGCACGCCTCCCAGAGCCATGCAACCCACTCTGGTGCAAACCCTAGCAAGCCTCAGGGATCTGGGCCCAGCCTGGCTGGGCTGCAGAGGGGGCCCAGGACCTGGCTGGGCCTGACACACAGTCCCCATGTGCTGCACTGTGTCCTGCTGCCACAAGACCAGCCCGGCTGGGCGGCAAGAGCAGCCCCAGGGCCGGCAGAACCAGGCTGGGCTCAGCGCATGGTCCCCCCGCTGTTGCTGTTAAAGATTAGTTATGGGCCTTGGGCAGGGTAGCTGGGGACCTGTGCGGTGACAGGGGCTATGGCCCTCCAGAGTGGAGCTGGGACCCTGGGCAGAGGGGCCTCCAGGGTGCCTGGAACCCTGGGCAGGTGAGCTGGGACCCTGTGGGGGATAGGGGCTGTGGCCCTCCAGGGGGGAGTTGGTACCCTGGGTGGGGGGGCGCATTCCATGTGCTGTGGGGGGGGCTGCACCCTGTAGGGGCCAGGGGGCCCCCTGAGCATCCCCCACACAAGGTCCCTCAGCCACAGTGCCCCCAGCAATTGCCCCACTCCTACCCACAGACCAACCCACATCACTGCACATCCACCCACCTGCCTTCCCCCACACTCCTTATGACCCCCTTTCTACAAACACCACATCCCCCCATCACACACCCATCATGTGCGAAGAAAACCAAAAGCATAGATCAATACATATAAGTATTTAGAATTTATTTTTTCATGATGATAGAGACACTGGTAGGCTTCCAAATTGCTTTAACATTGTAAATATACCAATAAAACATTACCCAACTTATCACTCTCTCTCTAGATATATGTGTGTGTGTGTGTGTGTGTGTGTAGAGTGGTTTTTTGTTTTAAATGTGGAAGAACATGGATTTTGGGGTATTTTAAAAAATGAATTTGGGATGCTGCTGCAACAGTCCAGCTGACACAAGGGGTAGTGTTCCCAGGTATCAATTGGCTGGGCCCCAGAAGCTCCAGAGAGTGAGTAGCCCCAAGCTGCTTGCCAGGGCAGCTTTTTGTATGGATGGGGCCAGGACAGAGTAGCTTTTTCTACTGCTAGGGACAGGTGCTGGCCCTGGGCTCTAGCTCCCCCTGGCAGCAGATCCGGGAGGAGCCAGGCAGGGTTATTTTGCCCCAAGTGGCACAACTTGCTCCACACCAAGGTGCATGTCCGAGCACGTGTGCTGAGGCAAAAAGCCCCAGTTCAAATTTGCACTGCTTTTATTTGAACTGCTGCAAGTGCACATGCTTGCATGTGTGGACGTGCCCACAGGAGCTAAGGCAAGCAGCTCTGATTTTCAGGAGGGTTAGAGTGATATACTTAAGGTGGTGTACT